ACAAATATTGTTTAGAGGCAGAGCTGCACTAAAGCCAGAAATGATTTTATTGGATGAGTGAAACTCCATTAGGTAGAGTGAAAGAGACATTTTTTTCATTCCACATTAAAGCATTCGTATTATTCAAACCCAGTATGAATATGTGGTGTGGACAGGAACCAAACAAAGCAGCAAAATGTGAGAGGTGCCTCTAAAACGATGGAGTTGTGTAGCTGGGGTCCTTTTGAATACAACAACCAATTTTAAAACACACAATGTACCGCACTCTACCTGTAAAGGGTCAACAGATGACCACACACACAGTAGCTCTCCTGTTTGTTGCAGGACTGTGCACTGTTGATGACTGAAACACGACTATGAGTCTACAGCCAAGCATCTCCGTGAGGCTGTAAGTAGGCTCAGTGGTGCTTGAGCTAAATGCTAACATGCTCACAGCGACGATGTTATTATGCTGCTGTTTAGCAAGTTAAATGTACCATGTTCACTGTTTTATTTGCGTATTAGCCATTACACTAAGTACAACAAATGCTGATGGGAATGTCACTAGTTCTGCAGGTATTTGGTCATAAACCAAAGTATCAGAGAAATTGATATTATGACCTGATAATGGTGCTGCAGGAACAGTCTCCTAATGATGAAGAGGAATTATCACCCAGCTTTGTATTTCCCCTGAGCTTCGTGCTGTGTTTTAATTCATTGTTTTTGTTTTACAACCTGTAACTTTACAATTCTGGTTAACTCTCAGTGCTTTCATCAAGCTTATTTCCAACCAGCTGCTGCTCTCAGTAGAGACACTGGTGAATAAAGTGGAGCATTTAGTAGCTTAAGAGCCAGGTACTCCCCCATGTTGTATAAATAACTTTATAATGCAAAATTATGTCAATAGCGTGTTTACAGCTTGTTCCCCCAGTGGCCACAAAAAAAAGAAGAAGCACTAATGTCTACATCGTCAGCTTTAACTCTGGGAAGTCTTTTTGACTCAGTGCAATGTTTGTGGTTGCTGTTATATGTGGCGCTGAAAGGAGTCCATTAGTCTGGTCCCTGATGTGTTAAGAACAGTTCACCATTTGAAGTAGAAAGGAGGACGACACGGTTTCTTTCTGCCTTAACTGTCAAAGTAAATTAAGAAAAGAGCAACATTTTACTCTTTTTGTGCTTCTGTCTGCATCTTTTTGGCATCAGGTGTTCCTTCCTGCTGCCACCGTTCTGTTTTAAAAGCTACACATTCCTATTGTATATGTGCTGACATTCACATTTTAGTTTGTAATATATGCATAGTTAAGCTGAAATGCATGTTAAAGAAATGAATTACTGTTGAAGTAAAGCAGTGGCATAAGCTCTGCTCTCTGGTGTCTCATTTTCAGTCTGTGTGTCTCTCCCTCTGCATTTGTTTGGTGTTGAAGATGTCACGTTGGGCTTTTTTTTCGGGCGGTGTGATTTCCAGACAGCTTGACTCGTGGTTCTGACTCATTAGCTTCCTGCACTGCTACAATGAGCCTCATCAATCGTAACCCCCAGCGAAAAAAGAGCTGCCTTCTCCGTACCTGGCCATAATAGCTCTCTTTGCTCAATAACACAGGCTGGAAACAGTCTGGATGTGCTTGTTGCAGGAAAATAAATAACAGCATTTTTATAAATTCTTTCAAAAGTGAGCGTAGTTTGACAGTGATAAATTTGTTTATGCTATTCAGGCTACATCAGACAGGGAAACAGTTTTCTGTACTTTATGTGGGCACATGTTGCATTGTGCACAAAAAGCTGTGGTCCAACATATGAAGGCAAGAGATGCAGTGACCTGCTGATCACTGGCTAAAAGTGGGAAATGGGACATTTACCCTACAGTTTGATTTACCTACTTCAAAAACATTTACTTTAATTGTTTGATATATCTTTGCTTCTAAAAGTCCCCTGGCTCCACCACAAGAACTTAACATAACCAAACTTAGCTTAGCTAGCTTAATTTAGTTTAACCAGACTTAAACCTACTAGTTCTCCTTGAAATTGATAAAACGCATGCAAAATCTTAATGTATAGTAATGATAAGTTATAGGTTATAAGTTATAAGTTACGTGTGTTGGTTTGTGAAAAAGTGATAGTTTAGATCAGTGATTCCCGGGGGTCAGGACCCCCAGTAAGGTTCAACGAAGCTTGATTTCAACGGGTGTTAAAAAACTCACTAGGGTTATATCTCAGCATTTTGTTAATTTTTGTGAAGAAAACTAAATGAAATTGTTATATTTAAAGTTTAGATTATTATTTAAGATATATATATATTTTTAATGTTACACACCTGAACACTATATACTACGCTATATTAACAGAGCCTTCACTTTCTGCTAAACAACCTCGTCCTGCATTAGAAAAGTAAGTCAGGGAGAAGAAAAAACTAAATTTGGCAAGACTATTAAGTGTTTATGATTGTTAAAAAAAATGTAAATACATAATACAGACAGAAAATTGAATAACTAGTTCCCTAAAATTATCAGGAAAACTCGTCTCTGTAGTATTCACAGGAAATAATCTGCTCAAAATCCATCCCATTTCACTAATTTTACACAAATTTGCAGTTATTGTGTTCACTGTTTGGGTTAATTGTATAGTTTATCAGTTG